TTTTTTTTGAGTTGGAGTCTCACTCTGTCGCCCAGACTGGAGTGCAGTGGCCGCTCCCGGCCACTGCAGCCTCGACCAGCTGGGCTCCGGCAATCCTTCCGCCTCAGCCTTCCAAGTAGCTGGAATTACAGGCATGCGCTACCACGCCCGGCTGATTTTTTGATTTATTGTAGAGATGGGGTCTTGCTGCCCAGGCGGGTCTCGAACCCGCGGGCTCAGGCAATCCATTCACCTCAGCCTCCCAAAGGCGCGGGATTATAGGCTGAGCCACCGAGCCCGGCTTAGTTTCGTCTCTTAACTAATTTTTAATTTTTTTTTTTAGTTGACAGAACCCAGTATTTCCAGATGATTTCCTATTCAAATACTAGTCAGGCTTGACCTTGCTTTCTTAATTTATTTTTGTATTTTATTTGTTTATTTTTAATTAATTATTATCTTATTATTGTTATTATTATTATTTTTTTGAGACAGGTCTCGCTGTGTTCCCTAGGCTGGTTTTGAACTCCTGGGCTCAAACAGTCTCCTCACCTTGGCATCCCAAAGTGCTGGGCTTACAGGCGTGAACCACCATGGGCCAACTTATTTTTTATATCATTGACTGAATGTGTCTATGCCTGCTGCCTCAAATCTTTTATGGAACAAGTAAACTAATTGAGTAAAGATATATAAAACATATAGCATAGTGCCTGGCAAATATTAAGACAGCAATGAAAAGGCCAGCTACAATTTTAAGTAAACAAATAATCTAGATTGTCTTTAATCTTTCTTTTAGAGGTGTTGTAAATACGAGGCTTCGGAGAGCTACCCAGATTAAAGGCTGCCCATAAATATAGTTAACTGCCATTTGACCCAGTAGAAGGAAGAGCCTTGACATGGATAACACCCAGCCACTGGTTTTTTAAAATATCTTTTTCTTTAACTTTGGAATGCATCATGGTGATAATAATGATGATAATAATCAGATTTGCCTTGCTTATTAGAGTTGACTTGGTCTGCTATTTAAATGAGCTTCTAATTCCCTGCTCACACCAGACTGACAACCGAAACATTCTGGGTGGCAAAGGGAATCAGCCTGCCTGGGATTAAGATTTTTCCATGGATAATCTCCAAAGTGAGGAACTTCTGTGTGAGTAATTGAGAGCTGACAGTGTTTTGTTGGATCAGTTTTGCCTAGCCGGGGGTGGGGTGGTGGGGGAGGAACAAGAGAACTAAGCTTGAGGAAGACAATAGGGGAGACAAGAAGAGGTTGATAAGTGTGATTGCAACCTTGCGTGCACAACCTGCTGTCTTCTGGTGAGGTTGACCCAGAGTCTTTGTTTTTTTCTTGTTTGCTTACTTCCAGTCAACCTTCCATTTGGTCCTGGGAAGAAGAAACAAAAAAGAGGAAGAAAAACAACCATGACGACTCTGTTGTTTTGGTCAGCCTCTCATTTATTGAGCACTTACTGTATGTTAGGCACTGTTGGGTACCATGGATGTGCCAAGCCCTGCAAGCTCCCTTTCCTGCCTAGGGCAGGTTCCAGTCTGAAAACTGCTGGGTGCAGACATGGCCCAGGTCACAGGCGTTTCCTCCTTCCCCTCTTTCTCCTGCTCCTGTGTGTCTTAAGGTTCCTTTTCCTTTAAGGTCTTTACCAGCCCTTCTCCATTTTCTGTTTCCCTCTCTCCCTCTCCCTCAAGGTCCTTTTTCTTTCACATTTTCAAGGGTTTTCGCCTTTTTTTTTCTATTTAAAATACATTTTTGAGAACAAAAATAGTTCCATATTGTTTTTTTCCACTTTTCTTTTTTTTTTTTTTGACTCTTCCCCAATTACTTACAAGGAAAAAAAGAAGGCAGTCCTCCCTCCTAGTCTCTCAGTTCTTTTGCTGAGAAGACAAAAGATCCTTCAGAATTAGAGAGGAAGAGGGGAAAAGAGAAAAAAATTCCAGTTAAAAATCTTAAAAATCTTCACTGGGGTCAAAAACCTGACAGAAAAGCTTTGTCTGAAGGGAATGTGAGAGGGGGGAGGGAACTGGCAACTCTCAATCTCAGAAGGCAAATATCTTGAGAGCTGAAGGAAATCTGGAGATAGTGAACATTCCCATTGAAGTAGTGGAATAGCTTTGATTTCCTTTTTAACCAGAGTCTTGTCCTTTTGAGGCTGATAGAATATGCTGAGAGGAAGAATTGTGGGGGTGGGTGGGAAGGAAGGGGAAGCCGGAAACTGCCGCTTTAATTTCACCCTGGGTCAGAATTGTTCAGAGTCAGATGCCTGCAAAGAAGGTTTAGGCCCCAAGCCTCAGTGCCCCAGCCTCACACTTGCCGGAAAGGGAACCCAGCCCAGGGAAGGCAGAGGTGCGGTGGGGTGGGAGGGCTATGGGAACTGAGCTAGTACGGCTGGTGAAACCCTGTGAGAGACCCGGGCGGGCAGGGGGCACCTGGCAGCGTGGCCACAGAGCCAGGAGGTGGTGAGGTGAATGCTGATCCAGGAGTGGAGTGGGCTATGTGGGGCAGCAAATTTCCAACTGGTAACTGCTCTAGGGTTTCGCACACAAAAGAGTCAGACACGTCTCTTGCTTGGGTAGCCTAGGGCTTTATGGAAGGGGTGTCAAGAACAGGACAGCTAGGATGAGGAAGCAGACACTAAATTGAACACCTGGGTTAGTAGTGCACTAGAAGTAGAGAGGAAGAGTATAAAGAGCCAGGCCCTGTCACTCACCTGTATAAAGGCTGGCCATCCCTGGAGGCCATGCCATGGCAAGTAGATAGGCCAGCTTGAGAACTCTTTGTGGCATGTGTTTAAATCCCGGCCGGTTTTGCCCCGGCACCCGGTTTCCAGCCATCGATTGATGTGCCATGAGAGAATATGAACCAATTTTATTATTAGCCTGAACAAAACATAATTAGAAGGAGAAATTTGTTTCTGCTGTTGAGGCAACTGCAGCAAAGAAGTTACATAAGGTTCACTCAGATGACATGGGAGCATCTTCCCCGCTCCTGTTCCCATGTCTCTGGCTTGAACCAAAGACACACAGGCCTGACCGGGCTCGGTGGCTCAGCCTGTAATCCCAGCGCTTTGGGAGACCAAGATGAGTGGATTGCCTGAGCCCGTGGGTTTGAGACCCACCCGGGCAACTTGGCGAGACCCTGTCTCTACAATAAATCAAAAATTAGCCGGGCGTGGTAGCACGTGCCTGTAGTTCCGGCTGCTTGGAAGGCTGAGATGGAAGGATTGCAGGAGCCCAGCAGGTCAAGGCTGCGGTGGCCGGGAGCATGCCACTGCACTCCAGTCTGGGTGACAAAAAGAAAGAAAGAAGGAAACACAGGCCCAAAGCCTTTTTCTGCCTTCTAGAAGTTTCTGAGATGGACAGGCCTCCAGGGACCAGATCTAAAACTTCCGGCCTGTAGCAAACACAGAACAAGGGAATAATGAAGTAATCGGTACATGATGAACATATAGCAGAGGAGAAAAAAAGGGAGAAAGGGTAAGAGACAGAGAGGGACACCCTCAAGGGGGAAGGAATAAAGAGCTGCTGAGGCTGCCGTGGGATCCTGTGATGTTGGAGGAAGGGAAGCTGGGGGTGGGGGGAAGCATCGAATTATCCTTAGACAACTGCAGAAGGACAAGATGGATTCAGGAAGGAATTAGCTCTGCATATGTCCTGCATTACTATGATCGCTACACTCTGAGGTGGGCAAAGGAAAGATGACTGGGAGGGGGTGAGAGTAGGGGTGGCGTGGGGTGATGTCTGAGTTAAAGCTTAAGGCTACAGACGTACCAGCCTGAGTTCCACTCTGCAGCCCCCTTAGACCAGGGTTTTCGCCCAGGGCACTTAACTTGGGTGGAGGGAGGCAGCAGTGGAAACTCCAGGCCTAATTGCTAGGTCTCTCTCAGCTCTTCCAGGGAGCACAGGGCAGGAAATTCCTCAAATTCCAGGCCTGTAGGATCATTGCTGAGCATAACCGCAGAGCAAGGGAAAGAGGCAGGGAGGCAGAGAGCTGCCTCCTCTCCATCTTTCCCCCCCCCTTGCAGTTTTAAAGCAGCAGCAAATTAGCAGGGTTTAGAGGGGCTGACGGCTGAAAGAGAGGCACCAAACACAATTCCCGTGTAAAGAAAGTCCCAGGTTTGGAAATCCCAGAGAAATTAGCCCAGAATTGAATAAGTTTGAGGTCAAAAATAGACCACCGTGGGTGGGGACAGGACTTTTTCCCAGGATGAATTTTTTTAGCTTTCAGGAATAGCCAGTGGAAAGGAACTTGCTTTAGAAGAACCAGAGCAAGAACCGTCTTGTTGAAATAAATGATAGCTGTGCAGAGAGCACACTGGAAGAGGTCTCTGGGTGGACAGCATTTTTGTTAGCTCTTCGAGGAAACTGGTCTGGTCTCCTTTCTTCCTGAGCTCTCTCCCAAGGCACTGGATGGATGGGGCTGTCCCACTCTTCACCTCACTGTTCGCTGGACAGTCTGTATATGCTCTCACCTACATACCTTGCTCATATAGCTCCTTCAGCCCCAGTGACCCCTTTTCTATCCCTGACCTCTGACATCCCGATCTGCCTAAGATGCACCCCACGTGCCACTCTCTTTGGGCGTCTTCTCAACTTCCCCCAGAGAATGAGCTGTTCTTTCCTCTGGGCTTCCAAAGCAAAAATTGCTTGTATTTGGTCAGATGATATATTCCATTTTATTTGTTTTGTTTTGTTTTTAAGAGACAGGCTGGAATGCAGTGGTGCGACTGTAGCTCACGGCAACCTTGAACTCCTGGGTTCAAGTGATCGTCTCACCTCAGCCTCCTGAGTAGGTGGGACTACAGGTGTGCAACTCCATGCTTGAGTAATTTTTTAATTTTTCTGTGGAGGTAGGGTCTCCCTATGTTGTTCAGGCTGATCTCAAACTCCTGACCTCAAGCAATCCTCCTGCCTTAGCCTTCCAAAGTGCTGGGATTATAGGTTTAAGCCAATGTGCTCAGCCTCTACTCTGTTGTATTTATTTTTTAATTTATTTTTATTTTTTTTAGCAGAAATAATATACATAATTTTATTACAAAATTTTTAAAAAACAAAATGCAACATCCTAAAAAACCCCAAATTTACTATTGATACTAATTCCTACAAGTTTGCTGTGCTACCATACACAAGTCAAGAAATTAAAGAAACCATTAAATATTTAGGAACATTCAACATCAGAAGCTTTAAAGTCTAACTGTATGTAGTAGCCCCTCAAAAAGCTACAACCTGTATTTTTTAAAGTATTTCCTCTACAAAGAATCTTATCAGCTATACAAAAATCTGTACAGTTTTTATACTGAAGCTAATATTGAGCTACACTTGAATTCACATTCTTAGCAAAACAGTTGCCTGAGCACACACGCATACTCCACACACATCATTAAAGGAGAGCCATTGATTCTTCATCTTCGTCCTCTTCCTCCTCATCTTCAACCTCTTCCTCTTCCTCCTCCTCCTCATCTTCTGGTTCGCCCTTCTTCTTTGAGCCTGTAGGCCTGCCCGGGCCCTTCTTTCCTGCCTCGCTTTTGCCCCCGGCACGGTAGGCAGCAATATCCTTCTCGTACTTCTCCTTGAGCTTGGCGGCCTTCTGCTCGCAGGGCTGCTTGTCCTTGGCCGACTGCTCGGACCGCATCTCGTCCAGCTTCTGGGCAGTGCCCCCGACGGACAGGCCCGGGTGCTCGCTCTTGATCTGCGGGCGATGCTCCGAGCAAAACAGGAAGAAGCCGGACGGCGGCCGCTTGGGCGCGTCGGGGTCCTTCTTCTTCCCCTTCTTGTCGCCCTCGGGGGGAGGGTCGTAGTTCTTCAGCTCCCGGTCGTCGCGGGCCTTGTCACTCTTGGCCATGTCTTCGAACTTGGACTTTTCCTTGGCGGACAGGGTCTTCCACCTCTCCGGGCGCTTGGAGAACTCGGCGAAGTTGACGGACGCGTCCGGGTGCTTCTTCTTGTGCTGCTCCCGACAGGTCTGGTGCGAGCTGCTCCTCAGAGTGGCGGGGCTGGGGGCGGCCGCGACGCTGCGCCCTCGGGGCTCCGGCGTGAACTGCTTTTTCCTACTCTGTTTTATTATAGTGAGTTGCTTGCCTCCGCCTCTTGCACTAAGTTGTGCTGCTCCTTGAGGACAGAGACTATGACTTGTGGTTTATAACTTCTTTCTCTTTCCTCTGCCCAGCACACAGCAGAATGACGGCCACACAGTTGAGTCCACACACACACACACACACACACACACACACACACACACACACACACACACACACACACACACACAATGCTATTGAGTGAATATCCCAGCTATTTGAGTGTGGGTTATCCACTTGGTAGATCCTTTTAATAAATGCTTAATTCAAAGTCTGGTTCTTCCAGCTCAGCGCCTCACACTATCACTTAATATGTGCCCCGAGAATGCAAACACTTGTTAAATATGATCTTCAGTAGAAAATAATTAGGTGCTGCTAAAAATTCATTATCATGCTTTCTAAAACCAAAAAGAAATGACTTTTGCACTCTCCACATCACCGCTGCTCCTCAATGGTGTGGATAACTGAGATGTGAACGTTTTCATCATAATTGGTGACGGGACCACCTTAGTCGACAGTTGGGTTTATTGGGGCCCAGGAGGAAGAAGTTGGGGCCCATATCCTCTGCAATTCTTCCTTCTCAGTTGCTGGGCTCCTGGCCTAAAAACGGCCACTGTGGACTGGCATCGAGGAAGTATTGCCACCAAAACCTCAAAAATTCACAGTCAGCAATGCTGTCTTCTAGAGCTGTTAAATTTTGGGGGGGTGGCGGGCTTGGTGACTCAGCCTATAATCCCAGCACTTTGGGAGGCTGAGGTGAGTGGATTGCCTGAGCCTGTGGGTTCGAGACCTGTCCAGGCAACTTGGTGAGACCTCATCTTTACAATAAATCAAAAACTAACTGGGCGTGATAGCGCGCACCTGTAATTCCGGCTACTCGGCAGGCTGAGACGGAAGGATTGCTGGAGCCCAGCAGGTCGAGGCTGCGGTGGCTGGAAGCGTGCCACTGCACTCCAGTCTGGGCGATGGAGTGA